TTCCTCTTCCAGGTTCTCCAGAAGCTCTACCATCCATCTCTGCAAAAATAACCTACCTCCCTCTTCACTGCTAGCGGTCCACTTCTGGTTACCATTTCCTCGTTCATTATCAAATCCATGGCTATTAAGCTTCAAACTCCTTGTCGCAATCAAAGCCGACACAAATATCGTGCTCCAATCGCGCGTTCTTCCATACCGTAGTTGTTTTCGCTGCGGGTGCGCCAGCCTGCCGCGCGATGTCGCGTTGCGAAGAGCGAAAAAGTCGCGTTCTGTCCTAAGTACCCACACCCCTTCAATGGGATACTGTGGATTTCTAGTTTGATCTGAACACGCCTCCGAAACTTTGGTTGCGACACCCTCAGGGCACCCAAATAACCCCTATTCAGAAGTTTACAGCGAATTTGGTGATAATCAGTTGTGGCGCCAGCTGGCGCCAAATGGCGCCAATTTGGCGCCAGCGCCAAAAATGGATGTCATATTCGTGATCAGGACCCTCGATAACCCCCATAGCAAAAGTTTCAGCGAAAATTATTTTTTGACCCATCTCGGCCCCACTGGGGTTGTAATATAATGTGCGAATGAGGTGCCCAAAAAACAAACAAAAACGCGGGGCAGACGGTTTGAGACGCACTACACAAACAGCTACGATCTGGTATTTTCTTACATTACAAATGTGTTTGAACTGGAGAGCCTCCTTCACGCTCACTTCCAGATTGAACCCTTCGCTTTGTAGAGCTATTCCAATGGCATCAAAACGAGAATAAACATCGAGAACTCTGAAATACTTTCATCTACATGCATTTAGGTGAATCACTGTTCTGTAGTTAACGTACTTATGCGTTTCATGTTCCACAACAGGTACTCCAGAAACACCCAGATTCAGGAGATATCCAGGAATTCATGAAGGAGTGTCAGGATACACTTCAAAAGATTCATTACGATAAAACTGTGTAAGAAAAAAGTAAGACAACAATAAAACACAAACAATTCCCAAGTGCCAATTTCCCAGCCTTCTTCGGGGTTTGAGTGATAAAACTAGGATGGAAAAGGGATTGCCCCTAGATTGCATGACTTCATATAATGCTCAGAAAAAAGTTGAAAAAAAAACCACGCAAGCGCACAAGATTGTCAAATTACTCACAAAGCACCAAATAAACTTCAAAATACGCTTGTGTGTAAGAATATAGACAGGATCAAATGTGTCAGGATCAAGCACGGGTATCCGGTGAACACGATGAGCAGACAGCAATCTAACAACTTCAAGAAGACTGAAAGGAGATCATGAGCACGAATACCTAAAGATATGCGCGATGAAACACCCTTACCTGCGTTCAGCACTAATCCACACAAGATTTTGCCATTTGCCTGCTTTCTTCACAAGCTCTGAAGAAGCTTGTCATAGAGGCTCCAACACGATTGTGAAAAGAAGTGCACAAAACAGAGAGCTCAATGAGAGTTTTAGAGAATTCTACTCACCTTCATATTTCCTAATGGTGAGCAACCCAAGTTCCTTGGCCTCATCATCTTGTGTGTTGTGGTTGTGGGAAACGATTTCGACTCCACTGGATGTACGTTTCACGTTTGATTGACTGTAGAATCCTCATTTGAAGTAGAATGCAATGCTTGCAAACAATAAGGTGAAACGGTTACCGAAATATCTTCAGAAGCACACGAATAAAATCGGTCACGGACAGGATACCAGTAATAAGACCGCCTTGCTGTGCGTCAGACAGTAGTACATGACGTGTTGCTATGAGAAGCATTAATTTCCACCCTGTTCTCACACTTCAAACTGTTATGAATATGCTGTGTTGAACGGATATCAAGCACATGAAATCAATGCGCAATTCGAAATAAACGCGCCGAGTTTACCCTAGGCTCTATCATCAGGTAACACAGCGACAGGATTACGATTACAATGTATTGTTCCACTGTCGAAAAAAGAAACAAAATAAAAAAAACAAAAAGAACGCTATAAAAATGCGACTTAGGCATTCCGGCATATTCCACTTAGTAGCTCTTGCCCTGAAGAGAAACGTAGTCTTCACATCAGATTACTGTACACAGAAAAGGGGACACTGGCCACGGAACCCTTTCGTAGCGCGGGGAATGCAATAACAGAATCTCCAGACAATTAACCCAGCAGTCTAACAATAATGGGACTATAAGTAAAAGGGCATGTATTTCAATTGCAAGGAACCAGCCACAGCGGTAAATACAATCTGTTTAAAGCCTTCTTTTACTTCAGTGATGATTCGCCTGTAGTACAAGATTATAAGTTCAGGAACATAGGATGGTTACAGTAATCCATCACATTGTTGTTGGGTGCACACATTGCGCCTTATACCACGTCGAGTACTCACTCAAACGCGTCGGGAAACGCCACGTGCATGACGAAGGGAGTAAAGAAGTTTTCTGACGAAGACTAAGCCAGGAAAGTGACGAACCCACCTAAAATCCCCTCTTCTTCCAAGGTCTACGCCCTGCTACTGAAGCTTCATGAAGGCTATTTGGATCACAATTTCCAAAAAACCCAGAGTGTTAGAATATTAGATCAGAAAAGTTAGATATTAGAATTGATAACAAGAGTAAAGGGGGAATTGGGAACATGACCGCGTTTTTTCTATTCATTCATTCTTTTCTATTCATTCATGCTCCAAGATCCTTGACAGGTTTTTCATTTGTATTCATACGACACGCATGCGCTTCACACGGATTCTGCTCAGTTTTTTGGGCATATTTCCTGATCTAAATCTTCCCATATGTATTATCGAATTCGATAAACAGTATATCAATTAGCGGTAACCGAGCCGTTGAAGGAATCATGACGGAATTGGGAAAATATGCCGATATACACGCACAACAGGGTGTTATCAGTGTGCTAAGTTTTTGCTTTTTTCAAGTAACTAAAAACCGTTAAATATTCAATGAAAAATCAAACGATGCGTTTCGCACCATAATACGCTCGTGACACCAATGCACTCTGCTTTTCGGAAATTTCTTCAATCCCATCATAATCATGCTCATGGCGGTTTCCCAACGCGTTTGAGTGAGTACTCGACGTGGTATAAGGCGCAATGTGTGCACCCAACAACAGTGTGATGGATTACTGTAACCATCCTATGTTCCTGAACTTATAATCTTGTGCCTATTATGGGCGCGGAGCCGCCAGCGTACGTTCTGCGTTAATGTGCATAGTCGAGTAAAAATCTAAGATACTGGCCGCGCACTGTGAATGAGTAATAAAATTGTACTTACATTTGAATGCAATAATAGACCAGTCCTTACCATGGGTTATAATACGATGAAATGCTTGGCACATAACGAGATCTTCATCCAAGACAACGACACGTCCAGAATTTGGCATTGCTTCATAGCATGTGTTCATCAGCAACAGCTTTGCTAGTGAGTCATTCTCAACCTTAACATTTTGGAAGAATAAAGAAATAACTGTGGTCGTAATAACGATGTGGATTAGGATGGCACACACCCTCTCTGGGAGCAGCTTCCGACCGACAACTATGACCGCCTTTCGCTGGGTAAAAACATATCCTGAAAAAATACTGTAAAAAAAGCATAAAAACCCGGCTCAATGGGAGTGGGATAGGCACGCAGATTTTGTGAATATGGTACGGCCCGAAATGGGTGTGTGGGTACTTAGGACAGCGGCTCCCCCACTTTCTTCACGATTTGGGGCGCGGCCGCGGCGAGCGCGGACGAGTCGATAGTGCCCGCGAACTGTGGTGGTGATGCGTTTTCAAATTTACCCACACAGTTCGCGGGCACTATCGACTCGGCCGCGCTCGCCGCGGCCGCGCCCCAAATCGTGAAGAAAGTGGGGGCTTAGGACAGAAAGCGACATTTTCGCGCTTCGCAATGCGACATCGCGCGGCAGGCCAGCGCTCCCACAGCGAAAACAGCTACGGTACGAGGGGCGCGTGAATGGAGCGCGTTATTTGCTCTGGTTCTAAGTTGCGACAAGGAATTTGAAGCTTACTAACCATGGACTTGATAGTGAACGAGGAAATGGCCACCAGAAGAGGACCACTAAATAGCAGTGAAGAAAGAGGTAGGTTAATTTTGCAGAGGATGGATGGTAGACCCTGGAAGAGGAGTGGTTGATGGACGTTCGATGAGACTCACGACAAAGGATCAGTTCGTCAGAGTTTGCTATGATATATAGAGTATTACCTAGGCCGATGAGTGTGTAATTACCTCGTTCACCAATAATTTGAAGTGTTCTAGAATTCTAGAATACCACTTTAACGGCATCGCTCGGAATCGTGTAATTCACAAAACATTTCCATTGATGAGAGAGAATTGGTGATTCACCGCATGTCTCAATACAATGAGTGTGAGCGTGGGCAAGCAATAAATCAGAAACTTACAAATTCACGCATGCGAAAAAAGCTGCTCCAATCGCGCGTTCTTCATACCGTAGTTGTTTTCGCTGCGGGAGCGCCAGCCTGCCGCGCGATGTCGCGTTGCGAAGAGCGAAAAAGTCGCGTTCTGTCCTAAGTACCCACACCCCCCGAAATGTGTATACGTAGAGACTTGTGCCCACTGCTATGATGCTACTTGAACTCAGCCCTTTAAACCGCCTCTGCGCTCTCTCGCGGGTCCCTCTCCTCTCCAAGGCTTAGTCCTAGGCATTCACCCGTTCTCTAATCGTCTGTGCTCTAGCCATCGCGGCAGGACCATTGAGGAAAAATCAAGTAGTCCGTAAACCACGAAATCCCTCGACTCTCGTGAAACTAGCAGCGGGTCATGGGCCTCATGTACACCACATCCAGGTGCCATACTGTTCCGAAAATCGCGCACCATCCTGCTTGCGCTCCGAAACATGTGCAGGTGAGACAGCTCAAAACTTTTTTCGCTGAAACTCCTCTTATGGAGATTGTCGAGGGTACTGGTCACCATATGAGATCCATTTTTGGCGCTGGCGTCTGACTTAATCCCATCAAATTCGCTGTAAACAGATTATAGGGGTCATTTGAGGCCCTGATTAGGAGTATGGCATTGGTTTTTGTCGTTCGCGCTGTTCCAACGCATATTTTTGCTTCATGTACTCTCTCACTTAACACGTTGATGACAGCGCAGACACATACGTCCCGCACTGTACGGGCCAAGTCGGACAGCGCGGGACGTAGGACTCGCCGCTAAACTTAGACTCGAAACGGCGGACGAGTTTTTCGCGCCACAACAGTTTGAATTCTAGGCTAGCAGTGCATTTCTTAGTGGGACCAAGGCTCAGTTCCTTGAATGCCAATCGATCATCGGGGATCGTCCACCTGAATTTGAGTGCGGAAGTCATCAAAACTATTATTGGAAATGAAGAGTACGAGTTGTGTGGTTCGATACTTCAGTAATGTCGGGATGGGATGTAATTCTGTCGCAAATGATTCCCACAGTCTCGTTACCTGGGATCAAGCGAAGTTCAAGTTCGGCATAGCTGGGTATGATAAGTAGGATGTGTTCGTATGCACTAGCATTACTAATAGCAATACATACACGCCGCTGACTTAGAGTCCTTCTAAATCCTAGCCTTACAATATCGCGACACCAGATGGTAAGCAGTTGCTCTTTGTTAGTATGACGAACTTTCATCATCGATATTTGTGCGATAGGAATCTTTCAATGCAGTCATGACATGTAACCAACAAATGAATATGAACGCAATCACAAGATGACGCGAGCGTCTTTTAGGACTAAGCATAGGAGTGGTAGGAATTTTAGGGAAAATGGGACTTGCTCACTAATTGGAATCTCCCATCCCCCGCCTAAAGAAAGCTTTGTCCTTTTTCAAGAAGAACATGTTTAACGCGGTTTTGAGTACACTGCCAATGCCCCGTCGCTTGCGGTAGCGTCTTAAAATGCTTAGTGTTGCTTGGAAGAGATAGCGTTTTGCAGTAATGAAGCACGATACGAGCTATCCGTGTCTTGATTATGTCCTCAAGAGCGACTTCTTAGTTTTTAAGTACCCTAAAATCCCATAGATAAGAGCGGTTTAATTTACCGGTGAAAAATGAATTGGAATGAAATTGAAATTGAATGCAGTCACCCCTCTAACTTGATGGATGGATAAATAAAAATCGGAGAAGAAGTTTAGAAGAAGCTCCGTCCCTCAACTCTAAACCCCGCCCACTTAATAAACAATTCATATAGAAAAATAGCGATTTTAACGGAATTTCTGCCGGAATCTCTCTAGAAATGCCGGAATTTGATCTCTGGATAGAACTTGAAGAGCCCATTCGATCAGTAAAATTCCATAGATAAGAGCGGTTTAATTTACCGGTAAAAAATGATTTTGAAAAAATATTTTTATTTTTATTTTATTTTTGAAAAAATATCTATGGACCGCTCTTATCTATGGGATTTTAGGGTAGTTAGTAGTCATAGAAGTCACTACCGATTACCTACTATTCATGCAAACTCCAGCTTGGCATTATGGAGTATCGTAATGTGTTGACACACTAGAAATCTTCAGTCTTCTGTTCTCGAGGAGGAAATGGAAAATGTGTTCGACAGGGGGAAGTTCTTGGTGGCACACGGATTTATGCGTTTCTACCGCGGACCTTACTTTTCCTTCCAACCGGGGTCTCCCTGCTCATTCTGTGCACGAACTCTGAAGTATAATCCCCGATCGATTGTTATTCGAAGGACAGTACCCTTTGTCGCAACGAAATGCACTGTTCGCCCAGAATTCGAACACTGGCAGCGCGAAAAACTCGTCCGGAAACTCGTCCGCCGTTTTTTCCCGTGTATGTTTAGCGGCGAGTGGGACGTAGGTGTCCTGCACCCACTTTGTGCAGTTTTTTCGCGCAGCCCTAACTTTTTCCTGGGTTTTTCGTATTCAATTCATAGACAGCGCCCCTCATAACTATGAGTGAAGTGGTCCACAAAACGGTTAAATAGAACTGGATTTGACCAAGGTGTTCCTGAACCTGCAAAATCCTTCGTTTCTGTCGCGACTAGATACGTAAATCCATGAATAGACGAATTTAGAGCTGTTGTAAAGTTTCCCTGCCTGTATGAGGTATCAGATTACAGGTTAATTACTCCTTAATCTGAAGGTGTGTAGCGGGTAACGTGAATATCGTAACAGAACACTATATAGGCTATACATATTTATTAGATATAATATAAGGATGAGGAACAGGGTCGTTGAGCGGGGTGAGTATGGTCAGGGTTGGACCATCACTCCCGAGCCCCGGCTAGCCAAGCGCCAGCCTCCTTCGATACCGTAACCTGGGCCACGCCCCTTCACAGTGGACGTGGACCCGACATCTCCATTCGTTCGAGTGAGCTCGTCCTCGAGCTCTTAGCATCTTTCCAGGCGTGTCCTCCAGAAGTGAGTAGAAATACTTCGAATGACATAATGACAATAATAATGCAGGTGAGGTCGGAGAGTTATCCGAAAGCAGATAACCACGTCCTCGCTCACAACAGCGTTGTCATTCGACAACACTGGAAGACACAAATTCCTTCAGACATATGGAAAGATACATAAAGTAATGATCATAAGGCTGTTGACCATTGATATAGTAGGAAGATAACAAGGTTATTAGAGCCACCTTGAAGCAGTTGGCGGTACAGTACGTGACTTGGTAGCGAGAAGTGTCTCGAATTTTCCTTTCTGGTCCTGTTTCATTCCATGATGATTCAAATGAAAAATCTTCCATTTTTCCCAAAAATTCCAATTAGCGCTCCCCAATCGAATAAAATTAGGCGTAAGATTACTGTATTTTGCGCGTTTTGTTCAACTACACACTCCACAACTTACTTTGGCGCCCTAGTGAAAAATTTGAATTTCTTAGTAGGCGTGGGATTACGGTAGGTGCGTTTTATGTGCAGATACACATAAAACATGCTAATAAGACTACCAGTGAGAAAAATAGTAGAAATGATTACGGGGAAGCTGTGAAAGGACGCGCGAGGAGGATGGAAGAATAGGGTTTTTTGTATGGCAAAAAGGGTAAGGATTCAAATGAAAAGGAGGAAATTCGAAGGTAAACGCAGGGAAAGGAAAGAAAGTAGTGAATTGTATGAATGTGCGAAAGCGTCAAAATAAGACGACAAAGTGCTAACATAGCAAACTTTTTCTAGGAAGTTCTTTGTATCTCAATATTCTTACTTTTCTCATACAGTGGGCACAAGTCTCTACGTATACACATTTCGGGTGTGGGTACTTAGGACAGAACGCGACTTTTTCGCTCTTCGCAACGCGACATCGCGCGGCAGGCTGGCGCTCCCGCAGCGAAAACAACTACGGTATGAAGAACGCGCGATTGGAGCAGCTTTTTTGCATGCGTGAATTTGTAAGTTTCTGATTTATTGCTTGCCCACGCTCACACTCATTGTATTGAGACATGCGGTGAATCACCAATTCTCTCTCATCAATGGAAATGTTTTGTGAATTACACGATTCCGAGCGATGCCGTTAAAGTGGTATTCTAGAATTCTAGAACACTTCAAATTATTGGTGAACGAGGTAATTACACACTCATCGGCCTAGGTAATACTCTATATATCATAGCAAACTCTGACGAACTGATCCTTTGTCGTGAGTCTCATCGAACGTCCATCAACCACTCCTCTTCCAGGGTCTACCATCCATCCTCTGCAAAATTAACCTACCTCTTTCTTCACTGCTATTTAGTGGTCCTCTTCTGGTGGCCATTTCCTCGTTCACTATCAAAGTCCATGGTTAGTAAGCTTCAAACTCCTTGTCGCAACTTAAAGCCAGAGCAAATAACGCGCTCCATCACGCGCCCCTCGTACCGTAGTTGTTTTCGCTGCGGGAGCGCTGGCCTGCCGCGCGATGTCGCATTGCGAAGCGCGAAAATGTCGCTTTCTGTCCTAAGTACCCACACCCCATTTCGGGCCTACCATATTCACAAAATCTGCGTGCCTATCCCACTCCCATTGAGCCGGGTTTTTATGCTTTTTTACAGTATTTTTTCAGGATATGTTTATACCCAGCGGAAGGCGTCGTAGTTTTGGTGGAGCTGCTCCCAGAGAGGTGTGTGCCATCTTCCTAATTCTCACATCGTTTATTAACCACAGTTATTTCTTTATTCTTCCAAAATGTTAAGGTTGAGAATGACTCACTAGCAAAGCTGTTGCTGATGAACACATGCTATGAAGCAATGCCAAATTCTGGACGTGTCGTTGTCTTGGATGAAGATCTCGTTATGTGCCAAGCATTTCATCGTATTATAACCCATGGTAAGGACTGGTCTATTATTGCATTCAAATGTAAGTACAATTTTATTACTCATTCACAGTGCGCGGCCAGTATTCTTAGATTTTACTCGGACTATGCACATTAACGCAGAAGAACGTACGCTGGCGCAGCTCCGCGCCCAGGACAGGCGACAATACAACAGACAAAAAAGGCTTTACATTGTACCGACCTGTGGCTGGTTCCTTGCAATTGAAATACATGCCCTTTTACTTATAGTCCCATTATTGTTAGACTGCTGGGTTAATTGTCTGGAGATTCTGCTGTTGCATTCCCCGCGCTACGAAAGGTTCGTGCCAGCTGTCCCTTCTGTGTATAGTATCTGATGTGAAGACTAGTTTCTCTTCAGGAGAACAAGAGCTACTAAAGAGAAATGCGAGGAATTGCTAAGTCGCTTTTTATGCGTTCTTTTTCCGACAATGGAATAATACATTGTAATCGTAATCCTGTCGCTGTGTTACCTGATGATAAAGCCTAGGGTAAACTCGGCGCGTTTATTTCGAATTGCGCATTGATTTTATGTGCTCGATATCCGTTCAACACAGCATATTCATAACAGTTTGAAGTGTGAGAACAGGGTGGAAATTAATGCTTCTCATAGCAACACGTCATGTACTACTGTCTGACGCACAGCAAGGCGGTCTTATTACTGGTATCCTGTCCGTGACCGATTTTATTCGTGTGCTTCTGAAGATATTTCGGTAACCGTTTCACCTTATTGTTGAGCATTGCATTTACTTTCAAAGAGGAGTCTAAGTCAATCAAAACAGTGAACGTACATCCAGGGAGTCGAAATTCGTTTCACAAGATGAGGCCAAGGAACTTGGGTTGCTCACCATTAGGAAATATCAAGGTGAGTAGAATTCTCTAAAACTCTCATTGAGCTCTCTGTTTTGTGCACTTCTTTTCACAATCGTGTTGGAGCCTCTATGACAAGCTTCTTCAGAGCTTGTGAAGAAAGCAGGCAAATGGCAAAATCTTGTGTGGATTAGTGCTGAACGCAGGTAAGGGTGTTTCATCGCGCATATCTTTAGGTATTCGTGCTCATGATCTCCTTTCAGTCTTCTTGAAGTTGTTAGATTGCTGTCTGCTCATCGTGTTCACCGGATACCCGTGCTTGATCCTGACACATTTGATCCTGTCTATATTCTTACACACAAGCGTATTTTGAAGTTTATTTGGTGCTTTGTGAGTAATTTGACAATCTTGTGCGCTTGCGTGGTTTTTTTCAACTTTTTTCTGAGCATTATATGAAGTCATGCAATCTAGGGGCAATCCCTTTTCCATCCTAGTTTTATCACTCAAACCCCGAAGAAGCTAGGAATTGGCACTTGGGAAGACATTCGTTTTGTATGTTACTTACATTACTTGTGCTTACTTTTTCTTCCAGTTTTATCAGTATATGAATCACCTTTGAAGGTGTATCCTGACACTCCTCTCCATGAATGTCTGGATATTCTCCTGAATCTGGGTGTTTCTGGAGTACCTGTTGTGGAACATGAAACGCATAAGTACGTTAACTACAGAACAGTGATTCACCTAAATGCATGTAGATGAAAGTATTTCAGAGTTCTCGATGTTTATTCTCGTTTTGATGCCATTGGAATAGCTCTACAAAGCGAAGGGTTCAATCTGGAAGTGAGCGTGAAGGAGGCTCTCCAGTTCAAACACATTTGTAATGTAAGAAAATACCAGATCGTAGCCGTTTGTGTAGTGCGTCTCAAACCGTCTGCCCGTTTGTTTTTTTTTGGCACTATTGCACTATTACAACCCCAGTGGGGTGAGATGGGTCAAAAAATAATTTTCGCTGAAACTTCTGCTATGGGGGTTATCGAGGGTCCTGATCACGAATATGACATCCATTTTTGGCGCTGGCGCCAAATTGGCGCCATTTGGCGCCAGTGGCGCCACAACTGATTATCACCAAATTCGCTGTAAACTTCTGAATAGGGGTTATTTGGGGCCCTGAGGGGTGAAACTCCGGAGTGGGTAAACCACGCACCGTGTGGCAAAAGTTGGAGTGTGTTAGACCACAGGGGAGTGGCCTACTCACTTTGGAGCCCTCCACTATTCAAAGGCTTAGTCCTGATTGCGATCTAATTAGTGCGAGGGCGCAGACGAGCAGGAAATAGGCGCCGAATAGCGCCAACAACAAAAACGAATGTCATATTCGTAATCAGGACCCCAAATAACCCCTATACAGAAGTTTACAGCGAATTTGGTGGGAATCAGTCGTGGCGCCATGGCGCCAGCGCCAAAAATGAATATCATATTCGTGATCAGGACCCTCGATAACCCCCATAGCCGAAGTTTCAGCGAAAATTATTTTTTGACCCATCTCACCCTACTGGGGTTGTAATAGTGCAATAGTGCCAGTTTTTTTCCATCATATGTTTGAATTATCATCTGCTCTTGCAATCGTTTGAAGTTTGATGAACAACATCATGAAACTGAGAAACATCCTTCACAACGTGGAATTTTCAGAGTAATAGAAATTCTGTTCTTGTCAGAGATACGCAGTCGTTCTATTCTGTTGTTTCTGTTCTTGTCGATCGCAGTGTTCATCGTGTTTGTGTAGTGGATGAGAATGATGTTCTCCAGGTTTGTGAAGTTATTCAATTCATGCGTAATTATTCATAGATAATTGTGATTGAAAACAAGCAATTTGAACTGCAGCAGTCGTCGTAATTACGCATCCCTTGTGATTTTCGCTGTTTCCTGAGCTGATTTACGTACGATTTCCACTCATTTTCTGCTTTAGTACTGTAATCTTTGAGGCAAATGACTACAGCGCGTATTTCGGGTTTCTGACTGTGTGGAATAGCCCGATTCTGCGAGCATTCGAACGTGTGATGAGAGGCGACCGTGTAGTGGTGAATATGCAAAACTTAGATAGACCAGATAATTTCACCCTTGCGAGATGCAATAAGGTAATCTTGGAGTGCAATAGTAGAGTTCGAGCCGAGAGCACTTGTAATGGCAAAAAGCGAGGTTACTTACTTCCGAAGTATTTGGTGTCAAATGCATTTTTGGCGTTATTGTTCCGGTTAAGCGTTTGGGCATATATCTCGCCATAATCAAATTAATACAAGGGAGTAATAGAACTGACAACTTTCTTGAGGCATGAATAATTTTCGCTAAACTAAAGCATACGCAACCATTTTGTTAATCACTTTGTATATATTTGGTAATGCTAGTATAAGACCTACGGAACAACTTCAAAACATTTGGGGAAAGTTGTGCACGGGAGCAAAATATGAGTGGCATGAGTGCTAACCGCATGCGGATCGCGTCCAAGGTGTTAATGTCCGACTAATTAGCTCACCTCACATTTATCACTGTTGTCCCATAGTTTACCTTAGAGCAGGAGTTCAGCGCATGGTGCTCGCACTAGGGCGCCGCAGATGGTTAAGACAGTTCTCCAGGGTGTGCTCTGGTAAGGGTCGTGGACTAATTACCGGTTCTATTCACCCGGCTGCAGTCGTTTTAACATCTTCTGCTAGAAGCGAAGAATTCGCTTACTCGACAAAGCATAAGAGACTGCAGGGTTTTTTGACCGGTGTGTAAGTGGAACCGTCGCATTTACCTCCCGGTCAAGTATGCCCACGGTACTAACACGTTCCCTCATTTTTCGGTGTACTTTTTTCTATTTTCCCCAAAACTATTTTCCTCCATGGATGTAGGAATAAGAAGAGTATAGTTTCTTCCACAAAACCAAACAGGCGACAGCGGTACAGATCAACTTTTGTGCTTGGTCCCTCATGTCTCGCATTGAAAAGAAATAAGAAATCGGGCCATCTGATAGCGAATATGAAGGGTACTTGCCTGAGCATACCTTCCCAACTTTCTTTAACTCATTGAGGACTGCCACTACGCATTCATTGAGATTTTTTTTATCCATATTCACCGCTCGAAAGCGCTGTCAATAGTAATATATATTATACAATTTTTCGCACCCATCAAAGTACATGGGCAGAATAAACCACGCAAAACGAGTCTCTTCCGTGAGAAATTGTGAGCTCACGCTGTCGCCAGTGGGTTAAACAGGCTTTACGGTACAGAGTTTATTGAGATTTAGCTGTTAGCTGCGAAGGGCTCCATTTTCAAAAGGTTCGACTCACTCTTTTTAGGTCTCGTCAATTGAAAAGTCTTTCTTAAGGGTATAATCTCACTTTCGGACGTGATGAAAAGCCTCGTGTTAGAGCCAGGTAGACATCTCGATTCTCAAAATCCTCCACGAAGGCGTTTCTCTCAGGTCTCATTCGATATGACAAATACGGTAAGAAGGAAAAAGCCTGCTCTTTCAGGAAACTTTTTTCATTCTTTTTTTTTCAGCAAATGTACTTGCGAACGCTCGGGTATGGTGATCCCACATATTGGTAATTACTACGTAGCACTACTTGAAATGATCTTCGCTGTGACAAGAGCTTCTGTATAATGTAACTGCATATTTATTAAAATCATTGCCATTGATCAACATCATTGTATGCAACTGCTGTGCATTGCAAAAGTACATAATGCATGCACGCATGTTTTAATTCTATTTTCTAGGAAGAGTTACTGTTGCATGATAAAGAAATGCTCAATTCTCTGTACTATATTATCAACAAATTACGACTATGCTCCGAATAAACCTACAAGCGTACACAAGCTTCCATGAAAGAACCAGTAAATACTCTTTACAGCGTATCTAACAGTGCTAACTGCTTCTTCCGCAATACGTGTGATTTCTTAAATCTTATTTCTATCTCATTTCATTTGACATGCTGACAATTGGCAAAGTTCGAGAAACCGTTTGACCAGCAGATGTGATCTGACGAAGCGCACAAGGGCAACTCGTTGTAATCCCACGCACCCTCTGTTCCAGAAAACCAGAAGTGCGTCGAGTGCAGACCACACACCACAAGTGACGACGGCCTCCAAGTAAATCTGGTTAGTAGTGTTCATAGTGATAGCTGATTTTTGGTAAATGATAGTTGTAATTAGTGACAACTGATAGAATACAACTGCAACAGGCTAATCATTTCATTGGCAGAAAACATTACATTTTGTGGAGGCCGTCGTCACTTGTGGTGTGTGGTCTGCACTCGACACGCTTCTGGTTTTCTGAAACAGAGTACGTGAGGAAGCCAAACGAAAGGAGAGTCGTTAGGAAAAACAGGACAAAAGGCACAGTCAAGATAAGCATCTGAGGTATAGCCTTTCTCAGTCAGTTTGAGAGTTCTTTCTGAACCGTTTTCACAAAGTTTCAAGTGCCATGATAACCTTTTCTTTGGTAATCCTCGCGGTCGCTTGCCTTGTACTTCGAAGTCCATCGCTGTTCTTATCGGATGGTCCTGTGGCCTCCTTAGCACATGCCCATACCATCGCAGTCGTTTTGTCCAGCCGCGTCCAGCCGCAGGCCCATCTCAGCATCCTCATTTCGGCAGAGTGAAGCTGCCTTTCGTGATTCTTGTTCAGGGGCCAGCACTCGCTGCCGTATAGCATCGCAGGCCTACCACTGTCCGGTACACCTTCCCTTTGAGCGTTCTGGAGCACCTTCGATCGCAGAGGATTCCAGTGGACTCCCTCCATTTCATCCATGCAGCGTTGACCCGAGCCTTCACTGCCTGATCCACACTACCGTCGGCTGCCAGATCGCTCCCAAGGTATCGGAAGTCCTCCACTCTTTCGATGGTCTCACCATGGCCGTCCACGATCGGCTCTGCACCCTCTTCGGAGCTCAGGAACTTGGTCTTCTTGACATTCAGCCGAGCCCACCTTCTGCCAGGACTTTCTGCCATTTCTGCACCTTGGCTTGAAGTTCCTCTCTGCTATCCGCTATCAGGGCGATGTCGTCAGCGTAGAGGATGGTCTTCAGTGGTCCTTCCATGAGCCCCTTCACCAGGACATCTAGTGTTAGGAGGAAGAGGAACGGGCTCAGAGCTGACCCTTGGTGCACCCCAACCGTGATGTTAGGCCGTATGGGGTGCGTATGGCTGCCTTGGCTCCTTCGTACATGTCCTTCACCAGAGAGATCAGGTGTTCTGGCACGTTTCGTTCCCTAAGCGACCTCCATAGCACTGCTCGCGGTAGCCGGTCGAACGCCTTCTCCAGGTCGAGGAAGGCTAGGTAGCAAGGCCTGCACTTTTCGCGATACTTCTCCATCACTTGCCTAGCGATGAAGATGGCATCCGTTGTAGACCTTTCGGGCATGAACCCGAACTGTTCCTGGGAGATCTGGACCAGCTCCCGCAGTTTCGAGTCGACCAGGCGCTCGTACAACTTCATGGTATGCGCAGTCAACTTGATCCCGCGGTAGTTGGAGCAGTCCATCGCGTCACCCTTCTGCTTGAAGATGGGGACGATAGTACTTGTTCTCCAGGCATCCGGCATCCTTCCTTCGGCAGTCACCGTATTCAGGAAGCGGGTGAGCCACCTCACCCCGTGCTCTCCCAGGGCCTTCCAAGCCTCTATGGGTACTCCATCCGGACCAACTGCCTTTCCAACCTTCATCTTCCCAAGTGCACGCCGAACCTCATCCTCTGTCCAGAGTGCGATGGGACCAGCTGTGGCCTCTGCCCGTGAGTTGTTCTCGTGGGAGAACTCCTCGTTCAGAAGACCTCTGAAGTACTCTTCCCACCTCCTCCGAACTTGGGCTGGCTTCCTCAGTATGGCGCCGTTGTTGCTCTTCACGCTCTTCACCACCCTGATATCTTGAGTAGCCCGATGCCGGGCTTTGGCCAGTCTGAAGACGAACTTCTCTGCGTTTCTGCTTTCCAACTTCTCGTACAAGGCGTCCATCTCCGTGTTCTTTGCCTTGGCTACGGCGGCCTTAGCGAGCCTCTTGCAACTCTTGTAGGCAGCGAGGTCCTTTCGGCGGCCCGCGGCGTCAGCCTTGGAGCTCCGTCTTTTCTGCCTGCACGATTCGTGGATTGCTGCCGTTTCGCCATGAACACTTACTGCTGTGGGCTCGCTTGAATCACCTTCACGTCTCGCCAGTTACTCCGCCTGTAGGTCAACGATGATTAGTTTGTAGTGATTGCTCAGCTGCAGGGTTCTCCAAGTCTGCACTGCTAGTATCTAAAGCCAGAAATTTTTCAATCCATTATAAAGTTATTCCTCGACTGCACTGGTCCTCAGATCTGGGAACCATAGCTTCCATATCCTTCGTTTTGAGTCGCTCGTCTCTGCGTGGTGCAATCTTCTCACACCAATTCTCCTCCTAGTTATACAAATTAGTCTCGGAGCTCCTGCGATTGTCTCCATGAGCTGCTTGTGTGCTGGACCAGCTCCTCACCAGAGATACTTCTCTTCACTTGAGTGAAGATCTTTTACCAGCACATGGTCGATTTCCGTTTGTCGTCCTCCACTGCTGTAGGTGACCTTATGAGTCTCCCTTTTCGCGAAGAACGTGCTGCAGATTGCCAGATCGTGGGCCGTAGCCAGGTCCAGGACTCTCTCTCCCTCGGCGTTCCTCACTCCTATTCCTCTACCTCCGTGCACCCTTTCCAGACCTCTTCTTTTTCACTTCACGTGATACCATTCAGATCACTGCATGTTAATGGCTTGTGCCCAGTTGTGGAGCACCTTCCGGAATCATCATTCGTCCATGGCGAATAAATAAAAAATAATAAAGGATAAAGCATTTGCCGTTGATCAATCCCTTTTTGGGATGCGGCACGCATTCTACTTCCATTTGTACATTCGCAGTGGCGTTTGAATGCGATGTGGCCTATACAATGACTTGCGGGGCCAGCCGATGTACAAGTCAGTGTTTTTATCCTCCCAGACAAGTCTGGTACCAATTAACCGACCCCGGAGGGATGGAAGGCTTGGTTGGCCCGGGCGACTCACGACCCAGGATTGATCCCCGGACCGCTCGCGTGGTAAGCGCGCCACTTGTCACTACACCACTTCCGCCCTGACTTAAGAATGAAGCAAGAAAAGAAGAAAAGATGAAGCGATCGATATTCGGAATCTTATGGCTTCGTCAAGGCTGAGATAGAACTCGTCCTTATCACTTTCGGGGCATCCGGCTTGCGGTGCGTACACGGAGAGTATGGTCCAGTACCCCTCCTTCGTGTCTATCCTCACAGCCATGATCCGATCGCTGATCCTGTTCACAGCGGAGACATAGTCCTTGAGCGACTCCGCTACCGCTATGGCCACACCGTTCCGCTTGGTGTCTTCCCCATTGTAGTAGAGTTTGACACCTTCCCCGATTTCCCTGGCCTTAGCACCTTTCCATCGCGTCTCCTGAAGGCATAGGACTTGGATATTCCTGCGCGTCATCAGATCAGCAACCTCTCGGGACTTCCCAGTTAGCGATCCTACGTTGAGTCCCAATTCGAACTAGCTTCTTTGGCCGAGGCCGTTCACTCCTCGGTAGCCCTCGCATACTGACCACAGAACTCGGGCGGGGGTTCTGCGCGCCACTTCCGGGTGACGTCCTAGCTTTATCACTGATTCTTTTGCGACTTTAGACATGTTTGGTGTGACTGGGGTCTTCATCAGCCGGCCTGTCAACCTGGGCCTGACGCTGGTACTAGAACCATTTTTGCAATTTTTGCAAGGCATGGTTAACCTCGGCAGGGATCGAACTCGCGGTTTTCAGAGGTGCAGACATGAGTCTAACCTCTTAACCACTCGGCTATCCCTGCCTTATTCCCTGCGATGAACTCAAGAGGTCAAACCTTTACTTCCAGAAAGGACACCATAGTATGTCAGGCAACAATCGTGGCTGTCAAAGGACATCATAATTGTGAGTTCATTCGTTTACTCTGCTTTGTATTGGTTCAATGTAATCCTGAAGCGTTCGGAGAAAGGCTGAGCTTGCTGTTTTTCAGGAAACAATGAGGTTTGATTGTATAATTCCGTACTGGTAGCCATAAACGTGGGGAAGTGGCAGATAACCACCTGATAAGGTTCGTTTTAAGGAAGGCAGCAAGCGCTTACCGTTAACCCTTACTGTGAAATGAAGCTCATTCTTCTTGTTGGTATGTCCTTTTCTCATAACCGTTTCTCGATAGACCAAATTTGTCGGTTTTTCAGCAGTGCTATGTAGCGTAGCGCTTTCCATGCCTCGTAACGTGAAACCTGATGGAATTGACGAATGTGGCGCAAAGGACGTGAAACTGTTCAAATTTATTAAGACTGGAGACGGTTGGTAGAATCATAGCATTGTATTATATTACTGGTACCACACGGCTTGTTATTGGCTTTGTGTTCCTTATTCAGTGACTCTTGTTTCGTCTAGAGCAGTATTACAGTGGAACTTCATTTTTTGATTGAAGCGTTTTCACGTTTTGAAGCGCTCAACTTCCAGACAAAATGGATATTGCTTGTGAACTGTGCCTCGATATGGTGCTTATCGCTGAGTCATACGCTGAATGTGGGGAGGTAATGAGAATTCTTTTTTCTTAACCCTTAGACTACGACTTTTTTAGAAACAAGTTATCGATGTGTTTTGTGTAGTAACAGTCGCTCCTAGCAACAACTAATCATCTGTAGAAATTTGGCTGACGCGCGCTGGGTTTGAGCTGGGATTCGATCCAGAGACCATATGCGCGGCAGTGGCCCCTCCTGTCACCACACCATCTCCGCTCGAATGAGCATTTTTGAACAGTTCAAATACCATTCAACAAATACACATTTATCACATCTCATTCGTGGAACAAGGCAATGTCCGGTTGGGAACGCACTTGAAAAGAATTGCAAGCCGCACTTTGTAGAAGTGCTGCTCCCCTGCCTACAGGCTGCGCCCACCGGCTGCTTCTCCTCTAACGAATTTTCGCTGGTTTTTATGCTCGAAAGCTGCGTCATCATAGGAGTGTTCTACTACCACTTCCGCATCAAACGAACTGACAAAACTCCGGAGGTTGGAATTTCCAACGCAGTCGTAAAACGCTGTCGTCCTCTAACTGGCTTGCGGCCGATAAAAACCTCCATCCGTCATCGGTTTGCTTATGTTTCACCTGTTTCACAATAACTGAGGGAAATAGTAGA